TTGCCAGTTCAATGTATATGAGGGCTAGGCTGTTATTTTCGTCACGTTGTGTTAGCTTTTATACAAAGGCATTTAGGGAGTGAGTACGTTTTTGGTTTGATAAAATGAAATGTGGCTTTCTCTCTACTGACTGTATAAAAACTTTTCATAATGAACAAAAAATATCAATTACGGCAGTGTTTTCGTCACTCTTCAGGGACAGATAAAGGTGCACTCTCTTAGATGGTGTACATTTCACTTGCTCCAAACTTAAATAACAACCAGGTGATATTAAGTAGTAGTATTTTATAAGTGCTATTGTGTGTGTGTGTGTGTTTTGCCTGTTTATATATTTAAATGTAAATTTGTCACATGACAATGTTGTTATGAATATTTTAATATCTTTTAAGTCTGTAGATTAATTGCTAAAATTTCGGTAAAATTTAGAAAAAAAATCTTTAGTATCAGAACCCTTAGAAATCAAATAAAAACTTCCATTTTCTCTCTGATTTCTGAAAGCATGTTAACCCTTGAAACCCCCCATTCCAACTTTTACTTAAAAGTTTATGGCAAATTTACAAATTACACTGGTTTCCGCATAGTCACCTGGTACATCTGTCTCCCCCCTCCACAGACCTCCCTTCTCTTCAGTTTGAAAGGGACCTCAGTGAACAGACTGGGCAAAGCGAGAGCCCTCTCTCTACATGCCTTAGGGTAGTGATAGGGCAGCCAAAGATCCAGCCAGCGCTCTAGCTGAGGGAGACAGATCAGAGATGAGGACCTAACTCCAAAGAGTAACTCTTAGATGCAGTGACTTCACAGATAACAAGTAAGCAGTGATTTAATTTAGTCTCAGATAGAAAGCTTCTCCATGAATAATGGGAAATAAAGTTAATGGAAATGAAGCAATTAAAGCAAGAAAAAAAATTACTGATGATCAGAAAAGAGAAAAATATTTGTGAGTATATAGATAAATGACTATGTCTACTTTTAGGGTTTTTTTGTTTGTTTGGCTGGTTTAATCAAAATGCATGTTTCTATAGAAATGTTAACAAGAGCTAAGTTTAATTTCCACCTGGATAATTTAGAAGTAATTTCTCATAGAGATTATTTTCTATTCTTTAAAAACTCATTTGCTTTTATACGTGGAGGATTTTCCCCCCACCACTTAACTACCATCAAGCTATTTTTTTTTTTTTTTTATAAGGAGTTCCGAAAGATCCTCAAAATACAGAACCAATGACTTCATATACTGAATTGGCTAAATCCTGTCTCAGGTTTTCACTGTAGCAGGAAAAGCCATCTGGTCAAATAGAAACCCTGAAGTTTGCCGTCATTTAATCCAGGGTCTGCAGGTATGCAATGGGAATGTTCCTTTGGTATTTGCAAAATTATGCTTTAGAATGAAATAGTGGAGGGAAGTGATTTTGTAATTGTTACACAAGGTTATTCTCCAAGGTTTAAAGATCTAAGTTAAATAAAATATACATATTTTTGCATTTCTTTTTGATCCCTTAAAATTTCTTGAGACATTCAAAGCAAAGGAGAGCATGATTTTTGATAAAAGACCATCAAACGGTTTTTAAAGTTCAATATTAACAAGTTTCACAATTTAACAAATGATGAAAAAAAGTTTTTCCTTTATAAATATATCAAGTAGTGGTATTTTTTTTGTTTTCCATTATGATATCCTATATCCTAAAGGGATATTAGTTACTCTAAAATGAGTTTAAGCAAATAGATCAAATAATTACCCAATCAAATATTTGTAAATTACAGTATGTTATAAACTTATGGAAGTTCTGTTTCTAAATGAAAAATTATATCGAGCATCTTCAATTTATCATTATATATTTATTTTCAGGTAACACTAATTTATAAGTGTTTACATCCTAAATCTATTAACTGGCTTGTATATTTAACAGTCTATCTTAAATATCTTACAATGATTTCTTTGTAATTAATATTAATATTTCACACAATCATTAATATTTCACATAATCATTGATTATGTTTTAAAATGAGTCAAAAACTATCTGAAAAACTATGGAAAATATAAAAATGGGAACATATTCCTTACTTCTAAACTAGTCAAAAGCATTTCCAAACTTGTGTCAATTAAAGGGATTCAGTAATACCCATATTGTATTCCAAAACCCTGAAACCATGTGTATGTATCTTACACTAACAAAGGTACTAGATGAAACACAAATTAACAGATATACAACTAGAATTGCTATAAGGACCAGTTTTAGTTATTATTACTTTATCAAAAAAATATATTTATTGCTTTTGTATTTCCATGTTTTTTTTCTTTTTAATTCAGATATAAGTATCTCTTTAGGTTGATTTATTATATAAAACACAACACAATTTTAGCAAAATTGTTCACACGTATAAGAAGTGGGTTTAATTTGTATTTTAAATCTATTATATTAGTGTACACATTTTTGATTCCCTAACAATTTATGTTTCTAAATTAAGGACTTTTAAAAATAGATGAAGCACCACATAGGAGATG